TCTCTCCCTCCCACTCTATCTGAACAAAAAACAAAAAAATGTCCTCGGGTGAGGATAAAAAAAAAAAAAAGAAAATGTAAAGGCCAAGATCCAGGACAAGGAAGGACCCTCCTGACCAGCAGAGTGATCTTTGCTGGCAAGCAACTGAAGGATGGACGCACTTTGACTACAACATTCAGAAGGAGTCCACTCTTCATCTTGGGTCGAGACTTCGTGGTGGTGCTAAGAAAAGGAAGAAGTCCACTCCCAAGAAGAGGAAGCGTAAGAGAAAGAAGGTGAAGCTGGCGGTCCTGAAATACGACAAAGAGGATGAGAATGGCCAAACCAGTCGCCTCCATCGGGAGTGCCCTTCAGATGAATGCGGTGCAGCCACTTTGACAGACATCATTGTGGCAAATGTTGTCTGACCTATTGCTTCAACAAACCAGAAGACAAGTAATTTGTATACAGGTTAATAAAAGACATGAGCCAAAAAAAAAAAAAAGATGGGAGATTGCACCCTGGCTGCTTTGGCTCAGCAGTCACTGGCCTTTGGACTGAAGGGTCACGGGTTTGATTCCTGGTCAAGGGAACGTACCTGGGTTGCACATTTGATCCCCGGCCCCAGTTGGGGTCCTGCGTGAGGCGACCAGTTGATGTGTCTCTCTCACATTCATGTTTCTCTCCCTCCCTACACACTCTGTCTGAAAAATAAATGGGAAAATATCCTCGGGCGATGATTAACAACAACAACAAAGAGATGGGAGATTACTGTTGAAGGTGGGAAGGGAATGAAACACTCCCTTGGCATCCCTCCCCCACACCTCAGCTACTAAATGGGCTTAACCCATTAACTGGACAAATGATAGTTCACTCTGGGTCTTAGCAGACCCTTCTTGAGGGCCTGTTCCGGCAGACTTTGCTAGTAACCTAATGGGGGGGATTACAGAGACCCTCCTTGGATCGGCCACCGCTGATCTACAAGGAATAGAACCGAACACTGAGGGCAGTTCAATGCCCCCCAGCCTTTCCACAAAGCTTCCATTCTGTTTCTTTCTGAAGAATTACAAATATAGGGATCAGTTCCTAGTAGCACGTCATCCACTCTCAACTCTATAAGAAAGCTTCTTATGTTTCTTTGGGTGTTGCCCTTAGAAGAAAATTCTAGGAGTGTGCCCCAGATCCAAGAAGGGGTATTGTCTGTCTCTATTCCCCTATGCAGCCTGGTTACAAAGAAGCCCCTAGAACACTGTCCTCGACTCCTTGCTTCATTCAGTCTTATGTGCCAGTTCACACATGCTCAGGACAGCAATTACCTTCTGAATGGCAGTGATACATTTGTCAGTGTCTGAAAGCTTCCCTTGGTTGGGTCCAATTATTAGCTTCATGAGCCACCTGCCAAGTGACATTCATCTTGACAAAATCAAAGCTCTCCTTTTGCAGATGACTCTCCCTATTCTTCATGTACCTCTACCTCATCATTAATTTTCCACCCAAAAAGCACCCACAGCGTGATCTGACCTACATATCCCTGGTGTCGGATCCTGCTCCTTTTCTCCATCGGGACTCTCCCTGGGTGTCACGACACCCGTCAGCCTCCCTTGCCAGGCGCCTCCTCGCTCATCCTTGTTCTCAGAATCAAATATTCCAGGAGAGTTTTAGGGGTTTAGTGCTCTTGTGTTTCAAAGGAAATTTTTTTTAGGGCCTTCCCAGTCTTAGGTCATCAGACTATCCTTACTGCATTCCAAATGACTAAGGCCTCTGGAAGACTTTCCCAACAAGACAAGAAACAATACATCACCTTGTCCAAACAAAGACCGTCCAAGGTAGCTGGGCAATGCAATAGCAGAAGGGACCCAGGCTTTGACAGACCCGATCAGTCCCTCGCAGTGTGGGCCCTCAGGCTGATTTCTGCAAAATCTGTCCATTTCTTCATGTGAATATGGGGGGCTGATGTCTCCCTCACCTGGTCAACAACGGCTGCTGTACGCCCTTCCCTCGGTTCCAGCTACTGAGACTCTTGTGTCTTAGGCAATCAGCTCTTCGTTGCTGAACTCTGATTCCATGTGTATCCCAGCACCAGAGCATCAGCTCCTTCATTTGGGACCACGTTTTGTCTTTGTCTTTGTATCCTCACTGCCTAAAGCGATGCCTGGCAAAGGGTCTATAGAATGAATGGATGGATGGATGGATGAATGAATGTTTTTGGCTATGGATTTAAACATAGTTTCATGTTAGAAATTCTGGTTGGCCCTTTTCTCCACTTCTGCTAAGGTATTAAGACTGAGTGAGTGGGGTGAGGCCCTCACTTCATCTGGTGTTCACCACGCCCTCCACCTGCCCGCTCATCACTTGTACTCACATGCTGCATGGCCTCTGTCTCATCTTATGATAATGTGACAGTCACACCACATCAGATCAGATCAGTACCCTCATTAAAGCAGCAGTGTCAAGGTCCTGGCCAGTCTGCACAGGGTTTGGCAACCCTGCCCAGCAGGAGGTCCTGCCCCCTACACACCCACTACTGCCCCAGCCCAGGAGAGTGGAGCAAAGAAAGATCTGAGGAGGCTGATGGTGACACAGGCTTTGATCTTTATGACTAAACCTCTTCCGTGACATGTTCAATAAAAAGCTGAACTTTTAAAAAAAAAAATAGCTTTAGCCCTGGCTGGTTTGGTTCAGCTGTTAGAGCATCAGCCTGCACACCAATCAGCCACGGGTTCAATTCCGGTCAAGGGCACGTACCTCGGTTGCGGTTTGTTCCCGACCCAGTCGATGTGGCTCTATCACATCAGATGTTTCTCTCTGTCTCTCTCTCTCCCTCGCTCCCACTCTATCTGATAAGCAGAAAAATATCCTCGGGTGAGAAATTTTTTTTAAAAAAAAGCATCTTCAACCCTGGCCGGTTTGGCTCAGCGGTTAGAGCGTCGGCCTGCGGTCCGGAGAGACCTGGGTTCGGTTCCCGCTAAGGGCACGTACCTTGGTTGCAGTTTGTCCACGGCCCTGGTTGGGTCGTGTGGGTGGCAACCACTCGATGTGTCGCTTTCACGTCGATGTTTCTCTCTCTCTCTCTCCCACTCACTCTATCTGAACACAATATCGAAAAATGTCCTCGGGTGAGGATAAAAAAAAAAAAAGCATCTTCAGATTGTTAAAAGTCAAAAAAAACAGGCACAATTGCTGGCACATAGGAAGTGGCCGCAGGCAGTGGAATGAATACACATTTGGTAGTAGGAGTATGTGAGGGTTTTCCTCTCTCATTCCTTCTAGGAGTGGGCTCATTAGACAAGCCAGGAGCAAGGTCCAGTCTTGGTTCTGGAGTCAGAGTCTGAATTTCAGATCCTGTCTCTCCAACTTAGTAAGTATGACCTTGGCCAGTTACTTAAGCTAAGTCTCAGTGGTCTTCTCTATACAATGGAGATACTAATAGTACTATCAGCGTCAAAGAAGTGTTGAGAATTAAATAAAATAGTGCATATAAAAAGCTTGGTGGCCCTAACTGGTTTGGCTCAGTGGCTGGAGCGTCAGCCTGTGGACCGGAGAGTCCCGGGTTCAGTTACCGCTAAGGGTATGTACCTCGGTTGCCGTTTGTTCCCGGCCCCAGTTGGGGTCGTGTGGGTAGTGGCCATTGGGGTCTCTCAGGTCGATGTTTCTCTCTCTTCCCCCCTGCTCTTTCTGATGATAAATGCAAAAATATCCTCGGGTGATGATAAAAAAAAAAAATCTAAAAAAATAAAAATAAATAAAAAGCTTGGTGAATAGTAGGATGCTCAGTAAAAGTCATTTCCAGTACACTACACTGACTGGCTATGCAGATGCCCTCCATCTTTTGCTTTGTTTCAGATGAAGTTCCTCAAGGTCAAGGATTATCTCTGTTGGTCTTGTTCAATTAAACACTCACTTCAAGCCAAGCACCAACCCTGCCAGGTCTGGGGAATCTGTCCATAAGCAGTTACAGCCCAGGGGAGACAAACTGCCTATTTTCAAGACAGTGTGTGGGGCCCTTGAATGAGGTCATCACTGTCTGGGAGTCCGAAAAAGTGGCACTTGACCTGCAGGGGAACGGGGCTCACTGAGAAGGCTGGTGTGAGTCTCGGAGGACGAGCTTCCCCGACTACAAATGGGAAAGAGGGACATCTAGGCAGGAGAGAGAATTCATGCAAAGCCACCGGATGCTTTCTCAGGACGTATCCTTGTGCTTTAAAGGCTCTGGAGCCCAGCCTTCCTGCGGCCCTCAGATTCCAGTCTCTGGGAAAGTGATGCCAGTGGCAGAAAGAATGGATAGAGTTGGCAGATGGCAGCTAGACTGGTTAGGATACGGGCTAGCAGGCTGGAACCTCCATCCAGGCAAGAATGGTAATGTAACTAGGAACAGCTGGTTCCAGAAAGAACACATTCACTCTGTGCATCCAGCAGGTGATGGGATTCAGAGGGCTGAGCGGCCAGGACATGGAGTCTCAGCATTTGCCTGGCAGCTGTAGCCTCTGGCTAGAGCCCTACAGGCAGGGGGCGTGGAGGGCTTGGTAAGAACAGGCATCTCTTTCACGTCTAGCATGGAGTAATCCACAGGAATGTTTCAGATACTTTTTCCTGACTGACCCAGTATATCTGAATTGGGAAGATGGTTCTATTATCACTTGAAACTTTCAAGCAGTGGTTTTTAAAGCAACAGTTCAAAGACACTAGGAAGTTTCCCCAGCAGGAGGATCAGAAGGGAAAGCAGAGTCCATTGAGGAGGAAATCGGGTCTGTGAAGCCGGTCTGCCAGTCCTGAGCATGAAGGTGATACTTTTCCCCTCATCTGGGGAACCCCATACAGCTGCTAATTATAAAAACAGGAATTTTAGCCCAGCCTGTGGCTCAGTGGACTGAGCGTTGTCCCACGAACTGAGAGGTCCTGGTTCAATTCCCAGTTGGGGGCGTGCAGGAGGCAGCCGATCAGTGTTTCTCTCACATGGATGTGTGTGTGTGTCTCTCTCTCTCTAAAAAAACCAATGAAAACATATTTAAAAAAACAAAACAGGAATTTTACAATAGCTTGTATGAAGGAAGCCTGAGGGTTGGACTACTGATTTTTTGATACCATGTATTATTTTGCAGATCGTTCACACACTACTTTGACTGAAGTGACACACTGGAGGTGAGCAGGACTGCCAGCCTCCCAGCCATGCTACTGGCCACTTGACCCCGACCACGTCCCACCAGCCCACAGCCAGTTTCCACCACTGAAAAGCCGTGAACTCTGTCCGTGAGCTGCTACTAATCTGACAGTCGGTGCATCTGAAAAAGGAAGGTGCATGTTGGACAAGATTAGATTCATTAAGTTCTTTATTGATAAGGCTGTGCAGGAGTTGGGAATGTCTGATTTCGGTCCTATGTACAACAGTGAAAATTAAAACTGAGTGACTCAGCTCGCAGGGAAAGCTATTTCTAGCCCCTGCCGCCTTTTTCCTGGTGAAATTTTAAAACACCCAATTAGCATATTAATATAAAGACAGTAAAGTACAAAAATGTGATAAGTACTATTTATTACAACTAACTGCCCAGGTTATTAGCTGTTTTAATAAAGTAAAACTTTACAGTGAAAATAATATGAGAAGTAGCTTTTTAAAAGCTCTTTTTATGATAAGCTTACAAAATGTCAGACATCATCCTCAACAATAATACAACAAACACGTCTCTGTCAGGAAAGCCAAACACTGCAAACAGGCTGACTGTTGAAAGCCAGATTCGCTTCTTGATACCATGGGGAGATCATACTTTGAAACTGTATGAGGGTAGCTTCTAAGCATCACTGGTCTTGGTTGAAGAGCAAAAATCCCACCTTATCGGCGACCAGGAAGTTTCAGGGAGGAATTCCTTTGGCTGTGACGTCACTTACTCCAGTTCCACCTTGCCTTTCTGATGCCTCTTCATTCTCGAATAGGGACTGATTGTATCATCCATCACAAAATCATACAGGACTTTGATCCAGGAATTGTAGTGGGGCAGGTTGTCATAGTACTCAGCTGCTATCTTCCTTACCTGGATGGGAGAAGACACAGCAAGATGAACAATGAGGGTTCACGGAGTCCTGCTGGAGATGACAGACACGTGTTTGACACAAACACTGAGAAATGACGAGACCTTTCTCCCTCCTAATCTTTCCAATCAATCAATCAATCAATCAATGAAGCAGTAGTTTTAACACTATAATTTTCTTGATCCCGGGGATTACTGACACTTTCCTATCAAGCTCTGAGGGGCTGCACATCTGGTTTATTTGTAAAGTTTGGCCCTTAGACTCTTTAACGACAGATACTTCTGTTTTTTTTCCTTTATTGATTTGAGAGAGAGAGAGAAAGAGAAAAAAAAAAACATCGATGAGAGAGAACATCAATTAGCTGCCTCCTGCATGACTCCCACTGGGGATTAGGCCCACAACCTGGGCATGTGCCCTGACCAAGGAGGGGGGGATTGAACCAGCAACCTCCTGGTGCATGGGTTGATGCTCAATCACTGAGCCACACCAGTTGGGCAATTAATGTATTTTAATAGCTACAATAGGGAGGAGATATTATCTTTCTGAAAAGGTGAAGAAACAGAACAAGGTAATTCTTTAGGTATACTGCTTGCTATGTACTCCTTGATAGAAAAAGCAGGAAAGGGGAGACTGGAGAAGTCTGAGGACGTCTGTTAGTTAAGGAGTAAGGAGACAGCATGAAATGAAGGGAAATGAAGAGACATCGATGACCCATGAGCCTTAAAGTCAAGTACTAAATCAAGTACTTCAAGTCAAGAACTGAACTAAGTTTTCAGTCTGGGGGCTGTTCAAGAAAATAACACGTGAAAGTATGTGGCTTGTGGTTTATGTTGGAAAAGGTTCAGTTAGTTGTTCAAAGAGCAACCAGCTTTCTCCATAACCTTTAAAAATTTTTTAAAAATTTACTTCCCTCGCTGAGGAAGAGGCAAAGGCCACATGCTCTGTTCAGGCCAGCATGTGGGCACAGTGACAAAGCAAGGTCACATTACACTGGCTTCAGTGTTGTTTTCAGACAGTTGTGTGGTGTGTTTCCCACTTTATTTTCTTACTACATATGATCTTCATCTAGGCCCACCCATTAATGAACACTATGTCACAGTCCTTTCTCTCTCTATATAACATATATAGAACAGTCCTTTCTCTCTCTATATATAACATATATAGAACAGTCCTTTCTCTCTCTATACAACATATAGAAACAGTCCTTTCTCTCTCTATACAACATATAGAAACAGTCCTTTCTCTCTATATACAACATATATAGAACAGTCCTTTCTCTATATATACAACATATAGAACAGTCCTTTCTCTCTATATACAACATATAGAACAGTCCTTTCTCTCTCTATACAACATATAGAAACAGTCCTTTCTCTCTATATACAACATATAGAAACAGTCCTTTCTCTCTATATACAACATATATAGAACAGTCCTTTCTCTCTCTATACAACATATAGAAACAGTCCTTTCTCTCTATATACAACATATATAGAACAGTTCTTTCTCTCTCTATACAACATATAGAAACAGTTCTTTCTCTCTCTATACAACATATATAGAACAGTCCTTTCTCTCTATATACAACATATAGAAACAGTCCTTTCTCTCTATATACAACATATATAGAACAGTCCTTTCTCTCTCTATACAACATATAGAACAGTCCTTTCTCTCTCTATACAACATATAGAACAGTCCTTTCTCTCTCTATACAACATATAGAAACAGTCCTTTATATATACAACATATAGAAACAGTCCTTTCTCTATATATACAACATATAGAAACAGTCCTTTCTCTCTATATATAACATATATAAACAGTCCTTTCTCTCTACATATAACATATATAGAACAGTCCTTTCTCTATATATATAACAGTCCTTTCTCTTTATATATATAACATATATAGAACAGTCCTTTCTCTCTATATATAGCATATATAGAACAGTCCTTTCTCTATATATACAACATATATAGAACAGTCCTTTCTCTCTATATATAACATATGCCACATACTTTGCTTTCTTTGCTGAACCTTTTGAAAGTAAGCTGCAGACAGTATACAGTCCAGATTCAGAATGTCCCCACTGACCCAATATCCTTTTTAGATTTTTCTTTCCTCACTTGGGAACTCAATCAAATGTTACATTTTTAAACAGTCAACATTTAAAAATGTATGAGGAAATCTATAAAATTTTATTGGGACGACACTCTGGCCGGTTTGGCTCAGTGGCTGGAGCGTCGACCTGCAGACCAGAAGAGTCCCGGGTTCGGTTCCCGCTAGGGGCACATAAAAAAAAAAAAAAAAAAAATTGCCCTGGCCGGTTTGGCTCAGCGGTTGGAGCGTCGGCCTGCGGTATAGAGAAAAAAAAAAAAATTATTGGGAGGAGATGTTAGCATAAACTATCTGGCTATGGTCCCCTTATATCAGCTTTAAAAAAAAACAAGAGAAACCATTATTACATTTCATACATACATGTATACTTTTTTTTTCTTTTAAATCCTTACCCAAGGATATTTTTCCATTTATCTTCAGATAGAGTGGGAGGGAGGGAGGGAAAGAGAGAGAGAAAGAAACAAACATCGATGTGAGAGAAACACATCAATTGTCTTTCTGCATAACCCTGACCATGGCCTGGGGCCGAACCACAACCGGGGTACGTGCCCTTGACCAGAATCAAACCGGAAACTCTTTGGTCCTCGGCTGACAATCTGATCGCTGAGTCAAACTGGCCAGGGCATATATCTTTTTTTTTTATAATTATGGAAATATTTTTGATACCAGAACTGTAAAAACTACTCATTTTGTGGATGGGAAGTCTAGTAAGAGAATTTACCAGAAATATGGTTGAAGTTAAGAAGGTGGTCTTTTTGGAGGGGATGAAAGGGTGAGGGTCAAAATTTCTTTCCTTTACTTCACCAATGTGGACCGTGATGGGAAACAGATGGCCCCTGGCTGCAGGAAGTCAACAGTACAGGAAATCGAGTTCATGTACTTTGCACATCAGTTATGTCAGACATCTGTCTTCCAACACAAACCAACATGTAAATCTTAAAGCCTATTCGGGTTACTAGTGATGAAAATCATGTGAGCTTTTGCTTACTTCAGAGGGGTTTCACTTTCCATTTCTGAATTACTTTACAAGTTAGCAAACTGCAGATCCCCCAACACTTCCAAACACCCTCTGTGTTACCACTAGGCTTGGGGACCCAGGAGCGTGAACTCTAAAATTAAGCTGGCAGACTTTGGACTTATGCTCTTGTTTTCTCTGATGAGAAACTTGCAAAATATACTAGAACCCCTTTAAAATAAACAAGTCGAAATTAATTTTGATCATATAGCCATCAGAAATTAGAATATGTATCATACCCCTTACTTACCAGTGGAAGGTTTTTTCCGGGAACGTTGGGGAAGTCATGGTGCTCATTATGGTAACCCACATTAAAGGTAAGTAAATTCAGAGGCCCATAATATGAGTAAGTTTCATGTCCCTTTAAGAACATGTAATGTTCAGCTATAAAATGTCCAGAAATCGGATGCAAACCTAGACCCAGTAAGGATGCTGCCAACATGTAGACTAAAGATTTAATTCCCAAAACGTAGTAAACAATCACATCAAATGTGAGCTGGACCACAGTATTGATCACTTCCAGGTAAGTAATTGGTTTGGGGTTGATGAACAGAGGTCGAAAAGCATAAAAGAGGGGCTGAAGAATAACCCATATAAATTTCCTGAAAGTAGTACAGAAGAACCAGCCTTCGAAATCAGTTGGAATATCCACGTCGATGCCATCCCCTCCGAGGTAGCGATGATGATCCATGTGATACCTCTTAAAGGAAATGGAATACGGAACACCAATAGGAAGATTGGCAAATATTCCAAACCAGCGGTTCCACATGGCTTTGTAGTGGCCAAAGGCACTATTGTGGGAAACTTCATGAATGGCCAGAGTCATTGAATGGTTAATGCAGCTGCCAAAGGCATATGCCCAAAATATGACCCATTTCCAGTCCAGGTCCTTTACTAAGTAAAATGCAACCAACTGTGTGAGAACCATCATAATGACAATCCATATCAAGTTGGGATCAGGTTTCATCAAGGATTTTATCTCTGGATACTTTGCTGTAAAGAAAAAAAAAAAACAATCAGTAACTGAGAAAAGTACATAGTTCCACAATGATAATTAAATCAACATCAATTAAGTTAACACTTTTTTTTTTTTCTTTTTCTAAATCATTACATGCCCTCTATTAGAGACATGATCTCCTCAGGAAAGTGTAGTTCCTAATAGTAAGGTTACTAAATACCATGTCACAACAAATTGAGAATTTACATAGGAAAAATTAGCCTCAAAATGTAGACTCTCCACGTTAACAGAAAGATAGTCACTAATGAGTAAAAATTTCATGTTGTAAAACAACTATGAGGTATCACCTCACACCTGCCAGAATGGCCGCCATCAATAAATCATCAAACAAGTGCTGGGGAGGGTGTGGAGAAGAGGGGACTCTAGTACACTGCTGGTGGGAATGCAGACTGGCACAGCCACTATGGAAAACAATATGGTGTTTCCTCAAAAAATTAAAAATTGAACTGCCATTTGACCCAGTGATCCCATTTCTAGGAATATACCCTAAGAAGCCTGAAACACCAATCAGAAAGAATATATGTACCCCATGTTCATAGCAGCACTATTTACAATCACTAAGATCTGGAAACAGCCCAAGTGTCCATCAATAGATGAGTGGTTAAAAAAGCTGTGGTACATATACACAATGGAACACTATGCAGCTGTAAGAAAGAAAGCTCTCTTATCCTTTGAGATGACATGGAGAGAATTATCCTAAGCAAAACAAGCCAACCAGAGAAAGACAAATATCACATGATCTCACTTATTTGTGGAATATAATGAACAAAACAAGCTGAGGAACAAAACAGACCCAGAGAGATAGAAGTAGGGTACAGACTGACAAACCTCAGAAGAGGGGGTGGGGTGGGGGGCTAAACCACAGAACTTATATGCATGTACACGTAACCATGGACATAGACAACAATGCTTGGGGGGGGGGGGAGGAGGGTGTCAATAGGGGAAAAAGGAGAAACATCTGTAACAAAAAAGTCATGTTGTCCAAGTCCCTTTCACCCCTAACAATTCTTTGCATACTAAACTTACATTTTAAAAAGTTAAAATTATAGTCTGGTGAATCTATTCTGTGTGTCTGTATAAGTATACATTACATACTTAGGAAAGTGACCCTAAGGGCAAAGGCAGATTCTTCTCTGGATCTCATCACCCAGGAAGAATGAATGTCTTTGGTTTTACATCTGTTGTCAGGTATGTTGGGCCCAGAAAGCAAAACTTCTGAAGGACCTTTTCTTGGGACAAGTCATTCAGAATGTTCTTGAAAAGATCAAGAAGAGAAAAGAGCAGCTTTATTCTCTTTTCTTTAAATGTGAAATGAAGAATTCAATAAAAGTTTAAAATGCAAGACAGGTAGCTAAGTCCAGTTTTTTTTGTTGTTGTTATCCTCACCCAAGAACATTTTCCCATTTTTTGTTCAGATAGAGTGGGAGGGAGAGAGGGAGAGAAACATCGACACGAAAGAGACACATCGAGTGGCTGCCACCCACACAACCCATCCAGGGCCGGGGACAAACCACAACCGAGGTAAGTGCCCCTAGTGGGAACCGAACCTGGGTCTCTCAGGACCGCAGGCTGATGCTCAAACCGCTGAGCCAAACCAGCCAGGGCAAGTCCAGTTTTATATAAAGAAGTAAAGGTAGTGTGTTAGCTCAAGGTGAGTACATCTTCTAGTTTCTCTCCCCTTTTCTATCTCCAATCTTTAACCTCCGATATTTGTTGGTATTAGTTCATTTTATCCAATGTTAATAATTTTATAGGCAATGGACCTAAAAAAAAAGTAATCCTACAGGCCTAGAAGTGAATTAGTCTAAAACTAATTTCCCTGGTGTAAATGATGGGTTCAAATAAGCCATTCATTAAAATATAAACAATTCTCCAACAGTAGAATAACAACTTCAGTTTACTAGTGGATAAGTAGTAACTCTTTTGTTTTAAAATGTGTTATTTCTGCCCTGGATGGTTTGGCTCAACAGTAATGGTAGCGCATCAGTCTGCAGACCAATGAGTTGCAGGTTCGATTCCGGCCAAGGGCATGTACCATGGTTGCAGTTCGTCCCCAGCCCTGGAGTTGTGCAGGAGGCAACTAGTTGATGTGTTCCTCTCACATCAATGTTTCTCTCTCTCCCTTTCTCTCCCTCCCACTCTATCCAAAGATAAATAGAAAAATATCCTCGGTGAGGATTAAAAAAATAAGTAAATAAAATGTGTTATTTCTGTTTAGACAGAGCTCCAGCATTTGTACCTTATATAAAACAATTAAATAGACACATCTGACAGAGGGCAGAAAATAATACACCTTTTGTAGGCAATCTAAAATCCTGAAACTTATATGCACAGTTCTCTCAGACAGACAAATCAACTTGCTCCAAGTAACTGTGCACCACATTTTTGCAAAGTATAACAGTATGAAAAATCAATCCTACCAGGGTGCCAATATAAGGAAAGAACAGTCTTTTCAACAAATGATGCTGGAACAATTGGTTATCCACAGGCAAAAAATAAAGTCGGACTTCTCCCTTTACCATACACAAAAATTAACTCAAAACGGAACATAGACCTAAATACAAGAAAACTATATTAAGAGGTTGCTGGTTTGATTCCGGTCAGGGCACATGCCTCGGTTGTGAGCTAGATCCCCAGCAGGGGCTATGCAGGAGGCAGCCAATCGACGTTGACGTTTCTCTCTCTCACCCTCTCCCTTGGAAGGAAGGGGGGGGGGGGGAGGAAGGGAGGGAGGGAGGGAGGGAGGGAGGAAGGAAGGAAGGAAGGAAGGAAGGAAAAGAAAACTATAAAATTCATAAGAGCCCTGGCCAGTTTGGCTCAGCGGTTAGAGCGTCGGCCTGCGGTCCGGAGGGACCCGGGTTCGGTTCCCGCTAAGGGCGCGTACTTCGGTTGCAAGTTTGTCCCCGGCCCTGGTTGGTTGTGCGGGTGGCAGCCACTCGATGTGTCTCTTCACGTTGATGTTTCTCTCTCTCTCCCTCCCACTCTATCTGTACAAAAAATGGAAAAATATCCTCGGGTGAGGATAAAAAAAAAAAAAAATTCATAAGAAAACAGAAGGAATAGGTTACATAAGTGTCTAACCACTATGCTGTACACCGAAAACTAATATAATATTGAATGTCAACTGTAATTGGAAAATTAAAAAAAATAGAAGTAAACTTTAACAATCTTTATGGTTTTTTGGATACTGTACCAAAAGCACAAGTAAGGATAAAAGAAAAAAACTGATAAGCTGTACAAACGATACTATGAACAAAGTAAAAGACTACCCACAGAACAGGAGGAAATGTTTGCAAATCATACATCTTCTTATAAGTGACTTGCATCTACACTACAAAAAGAACTCTTAAAACTCTCATAATTACTAATCCAATTAAATGGGCAAAGACTGAAGAGACATTTTCCCAAAACTAATATACAAATGGCCAATAAGTACATAAAAGATATTCAACATTATTAGTCGTTAGGAAAATACAAATTGAAACCAAAATGAGATACCACTTCACACACATTAGAATGGCTGCAATATAAGACAAGCAATAACAAGGATGTGGGGAAATTGGAACCCATACACATGGCTGATAACCATGTAAATAGTGCAACTGGTTTCAAAGTTTGGTAGTTCCTCAAAATGTTAAACAAAGTTACCAAGGACCCAGCAATTCCACTCCTAGGTAGCTACCTAAGAGAAATAGAAACATACATCTGTATAATAACTTATGTGAACATTCACAGCACCATTGTTCATAATAGTCAAAAGGTGAAGACAAGCCCAAAACCTACCAAATGAATGGAGAAATTAAATGTGGCATATCCATACAGTGGAATATTATTCAACCACAAAAAAGAAGGGGTACTTATATATGCTACAGCATGAATAAACCTTGAAAACATTAGGCCAAATAAAGAAGCCAGTCACAAAAGACCAAGTACTGCATGATTTCATTTATAAGAAATGTCCCGAATAGGCAAAGCTATAGACACAGAAAGTAGATTAGGGGTTACCTAGTACTGAGGGTTGAAATGGGGGCTGGGGACTGTTAATGAGTGTAGGGTTGCTTTTGGGGGTGACAACAGAGTTCTAAAAATTAATTGAAATGATAATTACATAACTCTGAATACACTAAAAAACACTGAATTGTACACTTTAATGGGTGAATTTCATAATTTGTGAATTATATCTTAAAGCTTTTAAAAAATACTATTTCCCTGTGGAAGTACAGCCGTAAAAGGAGCATTTCTTGTGGTTTATTATTTGACCTACAAGTAATAGTCTAATCCCAAGCCCTCATTAATTTCACATAGATAACTTTTAATATAGTTCTAAATGTTAATTTAGTGTACCGACGTTGGTTATTAAAAACATATTGATGCTCCCTCATGCTTCTCTCCCCTGAAAACCTGACAAATTTCAGAAATATCTCTTATCATTTATGTTTAATATAAACAAATCTCCAGATTCCTATCATTACTGATACTCCACCCCCGAAACGCAACACGCAGTATTTACACCTGATGGGGAGATAATCGTATTTTCATCAAGCAATATGTAGGCCTTTTAACTTTCCAAGTGAAATGGTTCAGTGATAATAAGTGTGTGGGAAAAAAGGCTGTGTTGAGATAAGCATCAATAAGCACCTTTTTACTTCCCTGAATTTCTGAGTATTAAACAGCTAAGATTCAGTATTCAGGAGTTGGTTTTCATAGGGTGGACACCTGATTATTCTTAGGCAACATGTTGATAAGATGTATCTCTTACATGTGATTTGCAAAATACATTTTTTAATTAAAAAGAAAGCATCCAGGCCCTGGCCAGATGGCTCAAGTGGTTGGAGAGTCCTCCCATACAACAAAAGGTTCCATCCCCCAATGGGGCACATATTGGTGGCAACTAATCAATGTTTCTCCCTCACATGGATGATTCTCTCTCTCTCCCTTCCTCTCTGTCTAAAATTAATAAAAACATATCCTGAGGTGTAATTTGAAATCCTCAGGATTACAAATAAATAAAAAGAAAGCATCCAAGAACTGAAGTCTCTTAAAAGTGTACCTTTAATAGCATCTGTAAAGGTTCAAGCTCCCAATCTACTGATCCAATTTTTAAAAATTAACTTCAAAGGGATCCACTAACTCCTTTCTGTAAAAACATGAACTTTCTAACTTTATAGAGCCCCCCAGCAAAAATCGGGCTTGCTCTTTGATTTCACTGGGCAAATGGATGCTGAGAAGAAAAACTAGGGAAATACTATGTATGACAAAGAATTCCTCTAATTCAACTTACCACCCATTAGTTTCCTGATTTTTTAAGTCATAGCAAAAACGTAAAGACCTCTGCTTTGGAGGCCTTCTAACCCAGATCAGAATCACTCTAACATTTACTTATTCACTTTTAGCTCGTTTTCAAAAGAAGCTACCTGGGAGGATTAAACTGGGTAATGTCTACTGAACACTCCACACAACGCCTAGCGTATCATTAAGAGTAATCTGAACGAAAGAAGGGAATTCTCTATATAACACAGGAGCTCAAGAGCTGAGCGCCTTACACTAGGGAGCTGACTAGGCCTAGTCAGCCTGGTGTGCAAAGGGCCCTAAACGAGCAGACAGGACCAGCAGGCTAATTTGGGCACGTCTTCCGTACTTCATCCGTCTGTTCGTCCCCAGACCCAGGATGGATGAAAAATACAGATGAACCTGCCCTTCTTGGGTCGCGGGCCGGTTGTGACAATAAATGAGACAACGTGCGAGCGCGCACAGGACGCGCCCCATCGAGCCCCAGGGGTCACGGGCCGGGTGGCGGTGCCCTCGCGCGGACCCCCAGCGCCGGGACCACGCCCTGCCTCGCACACGCTCGCCGTCGGGCTCCGCTGCGGCCCGCTGGGGGGAGGGAGGAAGAGGAAACGGCGCCCACCGGGGGCACGGGGATCTCCAAGCGACGGCTTCCACCTGGGGATGGCCGGACCCGGGGGTCCGGGGACCTGGCTGCCCGCCAAGCCTCTCCCCAACCAGATGCCTGCGCCTTCCCGAGGAAGGGCCGGGGCCGCGCGGCGGGGCGGGAGCGCGGGAGCCGCCCCCTCCCCCCTCCGACGGGCCCGAGCCCGGGAGCGCCGGCCCGAGGCCTCCCTGGCCTTTCCGGGGCGGCCGGGCGGCGGTGGCACGCGGAGGGAGCCGGCTCGTAACGGGCCCGGGAAGCCCCTGGGAGCGCAGGGCCCGCGCGGGCAGAGCGCGCCCCGGCGGCGGGAGGCCGCGCACGCACATAACGGGGCGCCGGGCCGGACCTCACCCAGGATCTCCCGGCGCCGATCGGCGTGGGGCTGGTCGGTGTAGACCCACTCGAAGTCATCCCGCGAAACGCGGTTCCCCATGGCGGCGGCGGCGGCGGCGGCGGCTCGCGGACCCGCTCCCGGCTCTTGCTCCAGCTCCCGGATCCTCAGAGGCGGCGGCGGCGGCGGCTGCCCGGCTCTAGTCAGCGGGCGATGGGCGGGGCTGCGAGCTGACGGAGGACGGGGCGGAGTCCCGAGGCCCCGCCCCCTGGCCGGCCCCGCCCCCCGCCGGCTCCGAGCGTGTGGCGCTCGTGGCCCCCAGCGGCCCCCGCGCGGGGCCGGGGTACCGCCGCCAGGTGACGCGGGCTTCTGAGAACTGTGACGCGGCCCATCGGTGGGAAGCGGAGCTGCTGCGGCTCCGGTCTCCCCGCGGCCTGCCCGCCCGCGCCCGCGCCGGGGGACACGGTGGGAAAGGAAGGAAAGGTCCCGGGTAAATGAGGCTCCGCTTTAGCGCTTCCGAGATGAGGCTCCTCGGTCATTCGTGAGGGGCAGCGCGCCCAAGTTTCCCTGTTGCAAAGCAGAGCTTCGCCGAGCCCCGAAAGGCCGCCTCTTGGCAGTAACGCGTCGGGGAAAGCGGCGTGTGCGGCCACAGTGAGACGCCCGGTAAGGAACGTGTCCTTTCGCCGAAGGGTTCTGCGTTTTCCCGGCAAGACTATTACCCGCCTGCCGTCTGCCGCAGAAGCCATCTGAAGCACAGCCCCTTCCTGAGCGGGGACGCTTTTTGTTTCAAGATTAGTTACCGCTTCTCTATTAAAAAAGAGACGTGGACTGCAGTTACAAAAAGGAAGCCAACCAGACATGCTTGTGCCTCGAAATGCAAGAGCACAGCACACACCCCGACACAAAACACACCTGCTGGAGCCCCCAGATCCAACTGCTGATGCACAGGAACTAGGACGGGGGAGAATGAAACCACGCCACAGAGATGTAGTCAGCAAGATCCTGACTGGGGGGACCTTGAGAAGCTTTTTACTAAATAAAGTTAAAGGGGGGGAGGGGAAACCTATAGATTAAAAAGGGCCTCAACGACCTATCGACCGATTGCGATGTAGTAACCTTATTTGATCGATTCAAATGGTGAACTTTTTTTAAATCGACAGGAGATCATTTAATTCCAATATTGCTTGGATATGTGGCAATGTTAAGGAATTATTGTTAATTTCTATCATGTGATAATAGTATTATGGTTATATATTTTTTGTAACCTCACCCCAAAATATGTTTATTGATTTTAGAGAGAGAGGAAAGGAGAGAGAGAGACTTCGATGTGAGAGAGAAACACTGATGTGGGAGAGAAACATCGATCAGTTGCCTTTTGGATGTGCCCCACAGGGGACTGAACCCACAAACTAGGTATGTGCCCTGACACAGAATCAAACTTACACCTTTTGGTGTGACTTTTTGGTATATGGGATGATCCTTCAACCAACTGAGCCACACAGCCAGGGCTATAGTTTTGTTTTTGTTTTTTTAAGTCCATATCTTTTAGAGATTCATATCAGGGGCATAAACCTAACTAAAACAAACCAATAAATTATGGTACAGTTACCTGTCAGTATCCTGAGTGATTGGTTCCAGGACCCCTTGGATACTATATACTCAAGGCCCTTATATAAAATGTTGTGGTATTTGAATATAACCTACTTAATCCTCCTGTATACTTTAATTGATCTCTAGGTTATAATACTTAATACAATGCTATGTAAATAGTTGTAAAACTGTATTGTTTAAATAATAACCACAAGAGAAAAATGTACATGTTCAACTCAGTACAGATGCAGCTATCCTAGGCCTAACAACATAATACAGGTCAGCAGCAACGTAACTTTTTTTCTTCACCCAAGGACATTTTTCCATTTATTTTCAGATAGAGTGCAAGGGAGGAAGGAAGAGAGAGAGAGAGAGAGAGAGAGAGAGAGAAACATTGATGTGAGAGAGACACATTGACTGGTTGCCTCCCACACAACCCCGACCAGGGCTGGGACTGAATTGCAACCAAGGTACGTGCCCTTGACAAGAATCGAACTTGAGACTATTTGGTCTGTGGGTTGATGCTCTAAACACTGAGCAAACTGTCCAGAGTAACTTGTTTTTTCAAGTGTTTTTAATCCTTGGTTGGTTGAATATGCGGGTGTAGAACCTGCAATGTGGAGGGCTGACTGTACATGCAATTAACCATACAGTTTTATATATACCACCAATCAAAAGAATGAGGAAGTTCTTTATGTGTCAATATAAACTGATCTCCAAGATGTAGTATTAAATGCAAAACATAAGGGTGGGGGGATGAATGCATAATGCATATATATGTTTGCTTGGATATGCATAAAATATGTTTAGAAGGACACCCCAAAATGATTACCATTGCATGAGAATAGGTAGGAGTCTAAGAGAAAAAGTTGGGAGGGAATGTTTTTATTTACACACCCCCTTTTTAATCTTTTACATTTGAATGGAATGCACATTATGACATTCTAAGAAAAGGAAAAATTGGCTCTAGCATTGTTGTGGGGATCGACAGATATTTTGATTACACACAGGCATATTTAGTTAGGACTTATACAACTTCTTACCGTGTTATCTAGCTTTCACATCTTTTCCTTACTCTTGCCAGGTGATTTGTCTTCAGGCAATCATACCAGTTCTTCTAGAAAGACATTATCCAGGCTGCTGTGCAAAGCTAAGGTGATTTCCAGTAGTTCCTGATGCCATGAGGAAATTGCAGGTGAGGTAAACAGATCATACTTTTGCAATCAAGGTGCCCTCCCTTGCAGATTTTTCATTTTCCATTTGTGTGATTTTTGAATGGGCAATTGATTTTTAAGATTATTTTGATAATGACATAGTTGAGTTCTAATAATGGTATTAAAAGCCTGTGGGTAGCTTTACCAACTCTAATTCATAGAAGATTAACAAACTACAAAAGGCATTCTTTATTCATTTCAAACAAACCTTAATCATAATAATAACTTTATGTCATCTGGTCCTTGATACCAAATGAAAGGCCATTTGTCCAATCAGTAGTTAATTGCCAATAAATATACTTTCTTACTATTTTGAAATGTGTTATATTTTATTAGAAAACTAGCACATATATATTGACAGAACAGTACCCACGTTTGTCTATAATTAAAGCTGACAGGGTGGCGGGGCAACACTACACCTTTCCTGTTCCACCCTATGCTGTGCTGGCCTCAGTGTATCTGGTACAGCCCAGTTTGGGACCATCATACGCACTGGACTTAGCTCCCCTGAACCCCAAGTTTATTCCAGCTGCAGCCTTCTCCAGGCTTCAGGACTTCACTACTTTGAAGGGATGATGTCTCTCAGCTGATTTTCTTATCCCTGAGGGGTCAGGGTTCTGGGGGTTTGTCCTCATGCCCATCAATTTAGACACCTTAAATGTCTCATCTACTCTGTTATGTTTAAGCATCATTTGGAAAGGGGAGGGCCTCTTTATGCGACTTCAGTCTCTCTGATCATATCGTGAAAGCTAGGAAATGCCTTTTTCCTGGCTGCCTCTCAACTGGAATGCAAGATTGGTTGAAAAGCACTTTAAAGGAAGGCCCTGGCCGGTTTGGCTCAGCGGTTGGAGCGTCCACCTGCGGTCTGGAGAGGCCTGGGTTCGGTTCCCGCTAAGGGCATGTACCTCGGTTGCAGTTTGTCCCCGGCCCTGTTTGGTCGTGCGGGTGGCAGCCACTCGATGTGTCCCTTTCACATCGATGTTTCCCTCTCTCTCTCTTCCTCTCTCTCCCTCCCACTCTGTACAAAAAATGGAAAAGTGTCCTCAGATGAGGATTAAAAAAAAAAAAAAAAAAAAAAAAAGGAGGATATTACATGATCATTCCAAATGAAGCAGAAAAAATGTTTGATATAATTTAATATCTATTGGCAATATCTATATAGAAAATCAATCAAATTGAGTTATTAGAATAAAATAAGAATTTAGCAAGGTTGCTGGATGGAAATCAATGTACAGAAACCTTTTGTATTTTTTTTTTAAATCCTCACCTGAGGATATTTTTCCTTTTATCTTCAGATAGAATGGGAGGGAGGGAGAGAGAGAAACATTGATGTGAGAGAGACACATCGATTGGTTGCCTTCCACACAACTCCAACTAGGGCCAGGGACCGAACCACAACCGATGTACATACCCTTGATGGGAATTGAACCTGTGACTCTGGTTTGAGAGCTGACCGACGCTCTAACCACTGAGAAAAACAACAGGCCAGAGTGCTTTTGTATTTTTAAAAAAATATTTTTTCTTTATTGATCTTAGAGAGGGAGAGAGAGAGATAGAAATACTGATGAGAGAGAATATCGACTGGCTACCTCCTGCATGCCCCCTACTGGGGATTGGGCCCACAACCTGGGCATGTGCCCTGACCAGGAATTGAACTGGTGCTTGGGTCCGACGCTCAACCAGTGAGCCACACCGGCTGGGCCACTTTTGTATTTTTTATTGAAGTATAATTAACATACATTGTTAGTTACAGTTGTACAACAAAAGATTCAATTGTTGATAGATATGTATTAATTGTCATTTTATTGTTCATATTTTTGTTCTTCTCTTCCAAGAAGACCCTTCAACATTTCATATGATATTGGTTCGGTGGTGATGAATTCCTTTAGCTTTTTCTTGTCTGGGAAACTCTTGATATGTCCATCGATTCTAAATGATAGCTTTGCAGAAGAGAGTAATCTTGGTTGTAGGTTCTTGTTTTTCATCACCTTGAATATCTCTTGCCACTCCTTTCTGGCTTGCAAAGTTTGTTTTGAGAAACCAGTTGACAGTCTTATGGGAGTACCTTTGTGGGTAATGAACTGCTTTTCTCTTGCTGCTTTTAAGATTCTCTTTTTGTCTTTAACCTTTGGCTTTTTTTTTTTTATCCTCACCCAAGGACATTTTTTCATTTTTTGTTCAGATAGAGTGGGAGGCAGGGAGAGGAAGGGAGAGAGAGAAAGAAACGTGGATATGAAAGGGACACATCAAGTGGTTGCCACCCACACGACCCAACCAGGGCTGGGGACAAACTGCAACTGAAGTACATGCCCTCAGTGGGAACCGAACCCGGATCTCTCTGGACCACAGGCTGACACTCTAACCACTGAGCAAAACTGGCCAGGGCTAACCTTTGGCATTTTGATGATGATGTGTCTTGGTGTGGACCTCTTTGGGTTCATCTTGTTTGGGACTCTCTGTGCTTCTTGGACTTGTATGTCTGTTTCCTTCACCAATTTAGGGAAGTCTTCTGCCATTATTTCTTCTAATAGGTTTTCAATTTCTTGCTCTCTCTTCTCCTTCTGGCATCCCCATAATGTGAATGTTGGTACGCTTGAAATTGTCCCAGAGGCTCCTTACACTGTCCTCATTTTTTGGATTCTTTTTTCTTTTTGCTGTTCTGATTGGGTTTTTTTTTTTTAATCCTCACCCAAGGACATTTTCACATTTCAGATAGAGCGGGAGGGAGAGGGGAGGATGAGAGAGAGAGAAACATCAATGTGAGAGAGACATATTGAGTGGTTGCCACCCACATGGCCCCAACCAGGGCTGGGGACAAACTGCAACCAAGGTGCATGCCCTTAGCAGGAACTGAACCTGGGACTCTCTGGTCTGCAGGCCGACGCTCTAACCGTTGAGTCAAACCAGCCAGGGTTGGACATTCATTTCTTTACTGTCTTCTACAAGGATGACACACTGCATTTCGCTGCTGCTTTGGAACAGGAGGGCAGCTGCTACAGCAGCATCAGGGTCATAGAAATTGGCCATATAAACAGCTAAAGCACTTTCTTATGTGCTTACTCCAAACCTCCAAAACAGTGGTTCTCAACCTGTGGGTTGCGACCCCTTTAGGAGTCGAACAGTCTTTTCACAGGTATCCCCTAAGACCATCGGAAAACACATATTTCCGATGGTCTTAGGACCCAGACACCGCTCCTCTATCCGTGTCCAGGCGGATCCGCCCACATGCAGACACGCCCACAGACAGCATGAGGAGCTGCATTAAAGGGTGGCGGCCTTAGGAAGGTTGAAAACCACTGCTCCAAAGGAAGAACAAGTATTTTAGCCCTCCCTTTTTGGAGTCCTTTATGCTTCCGATTGATTCTAATTAGAAATTGGCTTTTGTGTAATCCAAAGAAAAAGGGAAAAAGAGAGTTTAAAAACACAAAAGTTGGAAAAGGTGAAAGCTGTTTAGTTGATTACAGTTCTATGAACAGAATTTGTTGAATTTTGGAAAGTTCATCCTTGGTTTGTATTTCTTTTCTAGTCATATACTTTGTACTTTTTGCTGAAACACCACCCCCCCACTCCAGTTTTGTTCTCCTCACAGTTTCCTATAATTTTGAGGAAATGACTCACCAAATCGAGGAATGTATACAAGCAAGCTGAGACATACTTTTCTGCATTAAAAGTCTTTAAATTGGTCCCACAAAAATTGTTTCAGGAATTAACAGGGCAAGTTTATAACTATAAGAGGCATCATTTGATTTTAAAAAATAATATTTGTAAACATCCTTGGTTTCCTAACAGTGTAAATGGGTTATGTGGCAACTGAGCCACCTGAAGGTTACAGAAAGGTTCCCACCCTCGTCGTCTACCTTCTGAAAACCGGGAGATGCCACAGCAGCCTTTATTTTTGTTTCTGTGATGTCTGGTGACTAGAGTGAAGAGATGGTGCAGGGATAACTGACACCACTGTCACCCTTACCCTGCAGCACAAAGTCATCTGTGACTTCTTTTCTGGACATCTGAGTTCTAGACAAAGTGGCTAAAGCACGTATCAAAGAAACTCTTCCTCTGAATTTTGTTCTGAGCGAATCCTTATCAGTCCCATCTTTACTGAAGAGAGGTGAAGTCGATTTGTATCATTGTATTTCACTGGAATTTGGAATAGTTTTGGAGCTGGAAGAAATTTTGGAAAGAGAACCAGTATTCTTCCTGGCAGGGCAACAAAAAATCGGTGGTCACTAATTTTGCATTGATTGGCAGGATGCAGTAAAGTGACTATGGACCTGTTAGTGGCTTCAGACCAAATCTACTGCTAGGACTGCCTCCTACTTATGGTTACTGGTTCTATTTGCCTTTTTTTTTATCCTCACCTGAGGACATTTTTTCATTTTTTGTTCAGATAGAGTGGGAGGGAGAGAGAGGAAGAGAGAGAAACATCGACGTAAAAGGGACACATCAGGGACACATCGAGTGGTTGCCACCCGCACGACCCAACCAGGGCCTGGGACAAACCACACCCGAGGCACATGCCCCTAGCGGGGACCGAACCCGGGTCTCTCCGGACCGCAGGCCGACGCTCTAACCGCTGAGCCACACCGGCCAGGGCTGATTACAGGTTCTAGAAGCTTTCACAGTGCTTTCTACCTTTATGCCTGGGGTGAATCCATTGCCTCCTCCAAGCCCAGCCTTTTCCCGATTTTAAGTTCTATGTTACTCTTAGCATGAGGGATTTTGGCATTGACTAGTTCTAGTGGATATATGGAATGTTCATCTATATGTTTATTTGTAAATTTAGAATGAATGTAATCTAGTTTCATAGCTCCCAGCTATTTTAGAATAGTGTAGTGTAGCAGGAAGTAGTTGCTTTGGAGGCATGTAGGTCTGGGTTCAAATCCCACTTAGGCATTTACTTGTATAGCATCGGGACGTGTTGCTTAACCTGAGTTTAATTTCCCTGCAGAGGAAAATCTGCCTCATAAGGCAGCTGTGAGGCCTCCCTCACATAACTGTAACACACACTCCCCTGCTTCGAGTGGCGGTGGCACCCACATGGCATGTGATGGAGGCAGCTCTTCATCACCCTTTGTGCACGAAATACAAAGAAAACAAGCAGCGCTGGTAACAACACATTTATTTACGTACCCTGTTGTGTGACTGGGAGGTGTTTTCACTTTCCAGTAATTGAATTAGGATATAACAATGAAAATTCCAGAAGGTAAACTGGTAATTTATTGTTGCTCATAAACAAACATGGTACCACATAAAGGAATTTTAAACACTTCTAAACTTTTGGTATAGTTTTGAATATGGACCAGTAGACTTTGGCAATGGACCTAAGAGATTACCAATATGCTTCTAAATCCCATGATTCTCTTCAGATACAACAGGAAAAATTTGGATTTACCTTTTGATTTAAAAAATTTAACAGAAATTCTTAGGAAGTGGCAAAGGCCCATATGACTTGAGCCTATCATATTTATCATGCCTACACATATATTGCTATTAATAATGAAATCATGGTGCACAGTAGTCAACTAATTGCTAGTTTCATTTTGTAGATTACTTTAGCACATTTAAAAAATAATTCACTTCAGAAGGGCAGGCTATAGGTCTTGGTTATTTTTAAGTGGGTTTGACTTATTAATCTTTTGTGGACTAGTTAATTCTGATAGATCCCAAGCCAAAGAAGTGGATGGCATATCAAATTTGGTTTCATATTAGAAACAGCCGTTTCCAAAAGACATTTCCCTTCAGAATGCCTTTTCTTCCTAGCTTCAAATCTTACAACACATCATACTTGTAGATGGTTTGGTGTTAACAAACGGGTACTCATGGCTAGAGCAGGATATAAGAATGTGCTGATCACCAAGTATGGGATTTTACATTAAATTAAAATTATATACTGTTGGAAATCGACAAGGTAGGGAGTTCCTAGATCCTAGAAAATATTATGGCTAAGGAAATAGAGAACTCAAAAAAGGAATCACCTCCAAGAAACTAATTCAGTATAGTAAAATAGAATTAAGTGCCCTGTCTTAGGAAAAAGTTTATTAATAAGAAAAGGGACAACTGGGACATCATACATCATTTCTTTGGAGATTAAAGTGCAGGCTATGAAATGGCATAGAAAATAATGCATAAAATAGTGCAATCTTAAGGTGCCATTACTTTTGTTTATTATACATAGCCTCTGTTCGTGTCCATTTTCTCTAAAAAATCCAGCTGTCGTGACACCTTTTAGCTTATTTATTTAGGCATTACTTACACTCTTTTACCCACCTTTAGGGCTACATAGAATATTTTAACATTTTAACAAGTAGAATAATAGCGCATACATCTTGAAACTACTAAATAGAGATTAAGGCAAGCCCCTGTAAAGTTCAGTACTCCAAAAAACACGTTTTACAAAAAGAAGTTGCTTCCAAAACCAGTGGCTTTAGACCTGATGGCACCCCAAAAGTTTTTAAAACATGATTACTCGGTACATTTGTGTTTGTCCCCGTGTCCAGGCTCTGGACATCAAGAGGAGCTTGAAAAACAGCTGGTTCTATAACCTCGTGTTCTGAAAGAATTGATATTTCAGAACATGTGGAAACCAAGCCAAGTCCATGTAGGAGATAAGCTGAGGATCCTGGGGGTGGGGAGTCTTCCTTTTTCTCTTATATATGCCTTTTCACATTGTATCTGTCTGTAGTGTTGTACCATAATCGATTTTTAAGTGGGAATGACCCATTAAAATAGAGAAGTTTCCTCTGAAAAACAGCCAAGGATGATGACAAGAACATTTTAGGAAATGTTAATCTGGGACAACACAGTGTTAACATTATAGCATTTATATTACTGGCGTATGATCCAGGGCAGGACGGTTCTCTCTTGGGAGGCTAATTTACAAGTTTCCTGTAACACACGTCAGTTTTAGCTGATCAAAATAATTTGTGACTTGTTGAACCTTAAATACCGTCATGCTATCCCAAAGCAAGTATAAAAGCTATCAAATAGGTCAAGGCAATATCCTAACATGTTTTCGCTGGATAGCCTAAGTAAGACTTAAGACTTAAACAACAGAACTGTAGTGCTTTATTCTCCGACTGTTATGGAACATTCATGCATTAACAATCGCAACTCATTAACCTTATGGACAGGTGATTACAAGTGTATACTGTAGAAATTTTGGATTTTGAAACAAAATCTACCTTCTAATAGTGTGAAAGCTTGTTATGAAAGCCAAACACTCGTGTTCACTAATGGAAGACTGCACACACATTTAGGGTATCGAGATAAAGTTAATGAAGAAACCCAGGCAACTTTAAATAATTCATTAACAATTATTAAAGAAACCATCTGAGGATATATCCCTTTGATGCATAAGGATCATACTTTGTAAACCTGTAAACATGTACTTTGTTACTTAAAAAAGTCTTCCTATTACCAGGAAAGCAGACTATTCAAGGCCATGAGTATTCCAGTAGGCCTCCTCCAAAGTTATGACAATATGGCTAAATCCTATGATTACAAAAAGCGAGACCTGCTGCGAAAATGAGTTCCAGACAGGGACTTTTATGGATGACCTTGGCTGACAAATCTTTTTTGGAAATTGTTTATTTTAAAATTACCTTCCCAACAAACCATGAAACACTTGGATGTTTTTTTACGGTTTTTCATTGAAAACATACTACATTGTAAATGGAGTTTCAAAGTTAGACATAGAATTGATCAAAATCTAAGGACAATATTATGTAAGGACAATATAAAGAATGGATAAGAAAGAGTTTCATTTGGTGAGGTTAATCTGAAGGATGCAGAACCATGTCATGTTGGACGGATAAAAAAAGGTGACAACCTTGTGCTTTTATTCGACTAAGGTACTTACCAAAACCTTAAACTTTATACGGGTATCAAACTCCCACCTGGAAAGGGACAGTCTTCTACAGTACACCTAAATTTATTTTAAATAACTGAAGCCCAAGGCAACAGTTGTTTAAAAGAACTTAACAGTCAAATAAAAATGACATAATTTAGTACATTAAAATAAAACTAGAACAGTAATAGGTGAATGTCTCAAAAATATACAACTGGGGGAGATAACCACTGTACACAATTTGGAGGTTGTTAAAGTGACCACTTAGAAGGTTGAACAGTGCAAGACATGCTTTTCCAGTTATAAGCTCAACACAGGAGTGCAAACGAAATTAAAGCTTTTGTTTAAAGTTGAGGATAAGGAAAGCTTGAACATTTAGAAGCTTCCCCAGGTCACCCCCCAGGAACGAAATGATCGATGCTTTTTCATAGACAGTGCTCTTCCATGAACTGTCTTTCATGGCACAACTGCATCCCACAGGTTGGGTCCCCTACTCACACACTGGTAACCACACGATCAAGGAGCACACAGTGTTGAGTAAGGGAAAGTACTAGTTGCCAGAGGTCTGATATCGATAGAAAGAGCCTTGGGATTTGGGGTTCTGCCTTAGCCAGTGTACCTGAACCCTACAGAGAACAGACAAAGCAATGGGCTTTAATATTCCTGTTCCTGTAAAACTGGAGGACAAATGGACTCACAACCCCCTACCCCCAGAGGCCAGCTGTTGTGGTGGAAGATGTTAAGTGCTTAAATAAACTCAGATGCTGCTCTGAACAGTGGAGAAGTATAGAGGTTCAAGATCAATACCAGTGCAAGAGCTTTTTAAGTGAGTTGCCTAGGCAATGCATGCATCCATCCATGCAAACGTAGGACATGGCCCCCAAGAGAACTGAAAACATGATAGAATTGGATAAATCCCTTGCCAGTAGTTTATAAAAATATATAGTCAATACTGTAGAGGCCCCTTCTACTATGGAAGTCCATTTTAGTTACCCATGACTTCAATACCAAAAAAGCATTTACTACTTTTCAGACATTCCAGACAAAGGTCACTTATAACAAAAAGTCGACTTTTTTTTTTTAAAACAAGATACTGTCCATTTAAAAAGTAGGTCTTTTCTTTCAAGTGAACAGGACATTTTCTGTATTAAACTTCTAGTCTGTCAAGACTGGTTTAAGATCCTTAAGTAATGTGCATATATGCAGAAACAAATAAACTTACTTTAAACATGAGCTGCACAGAAAAAAAAAGTTAACTCCTCAAAACATGATAGAATAGGTCTGGTTAGTACAAATCTATTGCAAAGTAAAAAGCTTCTGTGCATCAGTTCAACCAGGAGAAGCGGGGAAAGAATGTCCCAACCACAAGAGTTCAAGTTTAAGTTGTTCCGAAAGCCTAGAAGCCTAAGGGACACCATGTTGCTCACGGTATCCTGATATGCATCACTGCTTGAGCTACTAAGCCAGGCCTTCCTCTGGAGCTAGAAGCACATTGCAATTTACTTTCTGTTCCGGAGCCGTTTGGATTTCCTAAGAGAGTCTATGGCTTCTGCTGCCTTTTTCCGTTTCCGAGGAGACTCTTCGTTCTGCCCAGACCCTGAGGGGTTTCCTACTGCGCTTTCCATCACTTCTCGTAGTTTGCGTTCCAGCTCGGCCAGCCGTGCGTTCTGTTCACCTATGATCTGGGTCTGCTCTAGCAGTTTCTGGTCCTGGTCTTGAAGCTGTTTCTGTTGTTCCTGCACTTTGGTGCGGAGCTCAGAAATTTCACGCCTGAGAACAGTCACACCAGCACCGTTTGTCTTAACCTGCTGCTGGAGTTTGGTAACCTCTTGTCTTGAAGGGTTTTGCTTGGAGAAGAGCTGCATTGTGGTCAGGGCTGCAGAAGGTCCTGGGACTGTGGGAAAGTAGTTTAAGACGGTCAGTGAATCACTTCAAATGTCTCGCTACCAGTAATACGTCATTAATTAAACTTATTTTGAAATGGAATGTCCTTATATCACTTCTGATCACTTCTTTGCAATCTACTTGTTCTACGGGATTAATCAGACACCTGGTTTTAACTATGAATGAGTTTAAACTGTGATTCTTGTGTCCGTGTGGCAATGTGTGGGCTGCCAGCAAATGGAGGACATTTAATGGCTAAACTTGGACTTAAAATAATATAATACACTTTTGGACCTAGGAGAAAAACACAAGTGGTAAAATTAGAATATAATGATTTTCTACCTTATTTCACACAAGCAAACATAAACATTTGAGTTAGCCGTACAGACCTATCTTATTCTTAAGTTCTCTCTGCACTTAGTTACTACTCTGTTTTAGGAATAATACAATGAGCATCGGCATAAAAACCACTATTTTAAACTAACAACCTACCTTTTTAAAAAAAGAAAAACCCTGTCTCCTGAAGGTTTTCTGAAAGGACCAGATGGATCTGTTCATACCAGAAACCAATCATGCTGCTTTTTCCTCGTACAACTAAACAGCCAGAATACTTTCCTTGACTGATGGATACGTGCTTCCTTGTCTCTCTGTTTATCCACCTTCCTCTAGTACATCAATGCTCAGATCAGTTTTTACCTCTTTTGAAGTTTTAATCAGAGCAGCCAACAATGATCTTCCTTAAGATTCTGTCTCTGCTACTCAGTTGGCATTTAAATGGACACTCCTTTCAAAAAGTTCTCTTGGCTATAGCAACTGAACTTTGAGTCTGCACGTGTGTTACCTTTTTAAATAGTAAGATCCTTGAGAGCAGACACCAGGTACTTCTTTTTAGTTTCCACAGGACACAGTCCAGTGCTGTGCGCATTAAGTCCTCAATTGGTAATAGGTGTGTTATTAATGCTGAGATGCCATAGGCTTTATCATTAAATTACAGAGAGGCACTCAGCTAGCCCACTGAATATTCCAGGGAGCTAACCCAAACAAAATGTTTCATTCAAGTTAAAAAATAAAAAATTTTACACAGGCTGAGGATACTGAACAATTTAGTCCTTCAGTAGATAAGGGCACAAATCTCTAGATTCCAATATACTTTTGCAAATAGCTGCCACAGAAGAAATGACAGTGTTTACAACAGCTTTATGCACAGCCTTATGTCTTTTAAAGTAGCAGCCAGACACTCTGAGGGCTGAAATAATTAACTGAATATTTTCATGAATATAGTCAGAAACATAAAAAAAAATACTTATATATAGCTTTTCACTCAGCAATTCTACTCTAATAAATTTTATTTATTTATTTATTTTTGGTACGTGCCCCTAGCGGGAACTGAACCTGGGACTCTCTGGTCCGCAAGCCGACGCTCCAACCGCGGAGCCAAACCAGCCAGGGCTAATAAATTTATTTTAAATCAATAGTTATGGATATGTACAAAATCTTAGCCACAAGACTATGCTTCAAAGTGTAGTTTAAATACTGAAAAACTAGAGACAAATGTGTTTAACAGTAGTGAATCAGTTAAGTTATGGTCTCTAGTTTAATTTGTCATTAAAAATGATGTTGCAGATACATATTTACAGACACAAAAAAGTTCAAGATATATAATTAAATAGGGAAAAAGAACAAGTTATCAAACCTATGTATCAATGTTATAAACTGAACATAGTAAAAACGAGAGATACCTGGAGGAGAGCCCATGAGTCTCCCAGACACATCTGATCCTGGTAGTTTCCTCTTTAGAATCGGCACAATCTTCTCATCAAAGTACTCCATCGCCATGGAGGAAATATCCCTTAACTCCTGAAGCACTTCATGAGCTCGCTGAGGGGCTCTGGTAGAGTTGACATATCTCAACACACGATAAATCTCATCAATAACCTAAAACAATGAGCTCTCATTAGCACTTTCCTTTTTTTTTTTTTTTTTAAAGAAAATAGCTAAATAAGGAGAGAAGTGATTGCTCGTTTTGCAAATCCTGTAAAGACCTTTAGGATGCTTTAACTGATGCACTGCCCATTGGTAATATTGCCATCTGTAACACATGGCTTTGGACTTGTTAGAATTCTTTACATGTCATGCTTACATGTACTAAGCACCATGTGCTGGGGCTAAAGAATCAGGATGGATAAAATATAGCTCCTGCCCTGAAGAAAACCACGGTGTAACTGGGGTGACACAAAGGGTCATACACATTGGTAAAGAAACCAGAGGACTAAACTAAGAAATTAATCCTGTATGTGAGCAGGGGTAGGGGAATCACCCACACCCAGGCTCTACTGCTCCTTCAAGCCCACTTTACTGTGGCCTGAATCTGTCTCCCAGAGCCCCCGAAACTCGGCGTGATCTCCTTCTATGCTGCTACCCTGTGCTCTGTCCCTTAAGGTTTTGTTTTTCTAAAACTTGCTATGAATTAGAATGAGGTCTTCTCAAATCCCACTTTACTGCAATCACCAAACGGTAGCCAGAAATCCCTTTTCATTTCATGATAACTGCAGTGGGGAAAACAAGGCACAGCTTACACGAAGAAGCAAAATTCTGACAATCCTGGTTCCTGGTTCTCTTGCCGGAATAATAACCGAACTGTCTTCAGGCATTTTTACCCTCAGCTTTAAGCCCTGGAGATTATCCTTAACACTTCCCATGGCTCTGCACAGACCTGAAGACAATAATTCACATCTCTGAAGACCTCCAGTCTGGATGACACCTATTCCAATGGGCCTTAACCTCCCCAAAATTGTGGGTTAATCAATGAAACGATTCTGTCACCAAAATATCTCAAACCACCTCAGATCCCACTCATTCCTCTTGCTGCATTTATCTGGCCAGCAGCCAACTCTGAAACAATCTTATCTACCTTCTCCTTACTCAGGCTGCTGAGTCCTGACAGAAAACCATAAAACCCTGCAGGATAAACAGCAGGTGAGGCTATTTCTACACCTTTCACATGACACACCACATGCTGAATCCTGCCCGGGCTTGAGATGATAAAAATATTAGTTATGAAAAATACTTTAAATTTTGAAAACGTATGGTAGAAACCAAATATGGTGACCAACTGTCACATTCCTAACGTGCAGTTCACTCGATCATGCTTATGTTTAAATTGGCACAGTAATCAGTGATATACTATGTATGAATAGCACTGAAGCCTTTGTTTGGACTGTTGTGGATGAGAGAGAATTTCTATCTTGTTTAATCTACTATTCAGCAAACAAACCTATTAATATTGAATCGCACAGAGTGGGGCAAAAGTAGGTTTACAGCCCTGGCCAGTTTGGTTCACCAGTTAGAGTGGCGGCCTGCAGACCAGAGAGTCCTGGGATCGGTTCCTGCTAAGGGCACGTACCTTGGTTGCTGTTTGTCCCTGACCCCGGTTGGGGTCATGTGGGTGACAGCCACTCGATGTATCTCTCACATCGATGTTTCTCTCTCTCTTCCTCACTCTCTCCCTCCCACACTATTTGAAGATAAAAAAAAAAAAGGTCCTTGGGTGAGGATAAAAAATAAATAAAGTAGGAAGTAGGTTTACAGTTCGCATGGAAAATAATTAACAAATAATGCAAGAACGGAAATAATACAATAATTAACAAATAATACAGGAATAAACACTGTTACACGTACCCACACTTGCAAACCTACTTTTCCCCCACCCTGTATAATCTCAATTTTTTCTCTCATCTTCCATCTTTGTCTTTTTGTTCTATGTGAGAATTCCTTAACTTTCTTTTCCACTCCTTTTATTTAATTAAAAAAATGTTCTCCCATATTTAAAGAATTTAAGTGCATTAAAATTTTTCTGGAGCCCTGGCCAGTTTGACTCAGCAGTAGGAGTGTCGGCACATGAACCACCGAGTCACGGGTTTGATTCTGGTCAAGGGCACGTATCTTGGTTGCGGTTCGTCCCAGCCCTGGTCAGGGTCATATGGGAGGCAACCAGTCCATGTGTCTCTATCACATCGATGTTTCTCTGTCTCCCTCCCTCCCTCTCACTCTATCTAATGATAAATAGAAAAATATACTCGAGCGAGGAATAAAAAAAATAAATAAAAAATTTTCTTTTTTTTTTTTAATCCTCACCTGAGGACATTTTTCTATTCTTTGTTCAGGTAGAGTGGGAGGGGGAGAAAGGAAGAGAGAGAGAAACATCGATGTGAAAGGGACACAAAGGGACACATCGAGTGGCTGCCACCCGCACGACCAACCAGGGCCAGGGACAAACTGCAACCGAGGTACATGCCCTTAGCGGGAACCGAACCCGGGTCTCTCGGGACCGCAGGCCAACGCTCTAACCACTGAGCCAAACCGGCCAGGGCATAAAAAATTTTCTTAACATGTCTTTCTATGGCATGTGTGTAACTATTTTTTCATATTTCTCTTAGAATATTAGTTACAGTTTCTCTTGAAAGTTTTATATCCTTATATGGTTTTCTCAAAGGTATTTTCCCCCCATTTGTTTCATTCTGTGTTTCATATTAGTTCAATGATTCTCTACTCTCTGGTTATATTGAAGAATGGAGCCCAGCCCAGCTGGTGCGGCTCAGCGATGAGCACTGACCCATGCACTAAGAGGTCGCAGGTTCGATGCCCAGTGGGGGGCATACAGGAGGCAGCCAATCAATGTCTCTCTCATTGATGTTTCTCTTCCTTCTTCTCACTCTAAAAATCAATAAAAACATATTTTAAAAAGTTAAAGGGAAAAAGAAAGAATTGGATCCCATAAAATGTTACCAGAACTCCCTAGTTAGCCAAGATGACTGTTAGGGTGGTGGGATGAGAGGAGAGGGGTGGCGGGATCTAAAAATAAAATGTGAGCCAGGTTGGTGTGGCTCAGTATATAAAACCTCGCTTCATGGACTGAGAGGTCCCAATTCAATTCCCGGTCAGGGCACATGCCTGGGTTATGGGCTCGATCCCCCGTGGGGGGCGTGCAGGAGGCAGCCGATCAATGTATCTCTTTCACATTGATGTTTCTATCTCTCTCTCCCTTCCTCTCTCTCTAAAAAAAATCAATGAAAGCATATTTAGAAAAATAAATAAAAATTCAGTATAAGAATAGACTGATTTGATTTTTAAGAATGTCATCACATTTAAATCAGTTTTAAAAAACATAAAAACACAACATTCTGGAAACATTAGATAAACTCAAATTAAAGAATTTAATTCACCCTGTTGGGTTTGGCTCAGCGGTTAGAGCATCAGCCTGTGGACCAGAGAGTCCCGGATTCAGTTCCCATTAAAGGCATGTACCTTGGTTGCAGCTTGTCCCTGGCCCTGGCTGGGGTCGTGGGGGTGGCAACCAGTTGATGTGCCTCTCTCACATCGATGTTTCTCTCTCTTCCCACCCTCTCTCCCTCCTGCTCTATCAGAAGATAAATGCAAAAAAATGTCCTCAGGTGAGGATAAAAAAAAAGAAGAAAGAATATTCTTCAAAACAACTAACCTATTCTCTTAAAAAATTTAGATCAAGAAATACAAAGAAAGTGAAGGGAACGATTCCACATTAAAGAAGATAAAAAAGTCTGTGTATGATCCTGGATTGGATTCTGGACTGAGAAAAAGACTAGCTAGGAAGAGTGTTACTGGGATAAGTAATGAAATTTGAGTATGGATTGTCAATTAGATAACTAATTGTAATTGTATCAATGTAAAGTCTCCTGATTTGAAATCTGTACTGTGGTTAAAGTAAGATAATGTCCTAGTTCTTAGGGAATACACTGAAATATTTAAGAATAAAGGGTCACAATATCTCTAACTTATTTTCAAACAGTTCAAAAAAATAAAATGCATATATTATAGAGAGAATAAAAGCAAATAGGACAAAAGTTAAACAATTGCTGGATCTGCATAAAAAAATATACGGGAGTTCCTTGTACTATTCTTACCATTTTTATATAAATGTGAAATTGCATCAAAACAAAAAGATACCAAAAAAATAAAAAATGCAACACCACCACCAGTTTCCCCTCTGCCTCAGAACATTGAAAACAAACCAACAGTACCTACTATGTAGGTTTTAAGTTTGGTCAGGGAAGTCTAGCTTCGTGACCTTGTATAATCATTTACACTGTGAAAACCCTGACTTTTGGGAACCACTGTGTTGTGGTAAGCACAAAAGGGTTACCAGGGCTACTAATAACAATTAAGAGTAGGGAAAATCCATGTCTGTTTCCATTATTATATCTCCCAGAATGGTTAGTTGGCCTTGCTCACATGTGTTTCAGTGTGTGTGAACGCTGACACTGACCGTGAGCTTACTGTAAAAAGTCTGACTTCCTTATGTCAGAGAGAAGACTTGAGAAATGTATACAGGAGTAAGCCAACAATCTAAAACCTCTAAGTTTGGAGAAAGGATGAATGGAATATTAATACAGTGCACAGGGTCTGCAACTAATGGCCCTGTCTGACTTGTGCCTGTTTTTGTAAATAAGATGGCAACTTTTAAGAAACAAAATAATTGCCCTGGCTGGTTTGGCTCAGCAGTTAGAGCGTCGGCCTGCGGTCCAGAGAGACCCGGGTTCGGTTCCTGCTAAGGGCATGTACCTCGGTTGCAGTTTGTCCCTGGCCCTGGTTGGGTCGTGCGGGTGGCAGCCACTCAATGTGTCCCTTTCATGTCGATGTTTCTCTCCCTCTCTCTCTCTCTCTCTCTCCTTCTTTTCCACCCTCCTTCCCTCCTCCCTCCCACTCTATCTGAACAAAAAATGGAAAAATGTCCTCGGGTGAGGATAAAAAATAAAAATAAAAAATAAGCCTCGGTACAGTGTACACATTACCTACTTAGCTATTAAAAAAAAAAAAAGAAACAAAATAATCCAAACTGAATTAAGTGTGATAATAAAAACAAAAATTATTATTTTTTAATTGTCCAGTCAAGTTCAGGTTTACCAGAGAAAAAGAACTCAGGTTAAGTTCTTGTGAAGAAATGGGTGCTATTAAGGAAAAATGGAAAAATAAAAAACAGTGAAGACGACTGACAACAGAAATCAGAAGACTTGAGTGTAGCTTTTATCAAATCACTTACGTTCTCTAGGCCTCAGTTTTCTTATCAATGAAATAGGAATAATACATGTACCCCCCTTACATGGCTGTGATGGAAAGTAAAGGAGATGACATATGAAAGTGCTCGGAAAATCAGAAAGTATTTCATAAATGCAAGAGGAGGGCAATGGCAAGAGAAAGGGACAGGTAGCTATCTACATTATAAAGTTAGGCACAAAATTCCTTCCCGACTGCCCCTCTAGAGGGCCAGGTAAAGGTGCAGTTAATAAGCTGTCCAGCCCTGGCCGGTTTGGCTCAGCGGTTAGAGCGTCGGCCTGCGGTCCAGAGAGACCCGGGTTCGGTTCCTGCTAAGGGCACGTACCTCGGTTGCAGTTTGTCCCCGGCCCTGGTCGGTCGTGCGGGTGGCAGCCACTCGATGTGTCCCTTTCACGTCAATGTTTCTCTCTCTCTCTGTTCCTCTTTCTCCCTCCCACTCTACCTGAACAAAAAATGGAAAAATGTCCTCGGGTGAGGATTAAAAAAAAGAAGAAGAAGCTGTCCAGAGCAAAAGCCCAAGGGGACCTACTGCATCTTGAAAACTTAAAACACTCTCCATTGGTGTCACCTCCGTTTTGTTCTTTTATTTTGTTACCAGAAGCAAGAGGTCAACAAATGGTTTCCAAAAAACAGGGATGCAACTAGATTTGACCTCATTTGTTTAGACAGTCATCAAGATCATCGTTCCAGTCACATGATCCTGATGAAATGGAATAATAATTAGCAATTTCTGTAAAGGCCAGATGCAGGCCCCATGGACTCTGCCCAAATAACTCAACTCTTGTTAGTAAGACATTTCTTAAATATTCATATTCTGAACAATGAGATATGCAGTAAAAATGAGGCATTAGGGGATAACCTATACTAGTTCAATGAACGTCCCAGGAATACTTACAAGATAAGGTCTATAAATCAGATCTGGATAAAATCTGGCATTAAGATCAGAATCTAAAATTTCTTCTAACTGGTCACCCTTTTATAGTATCTACAAAAGCATTTGTAGCTAATATTAGGACAGTGAGATATACCACAGGATGTTTCGAGTAAAATGAAAAGAAATAGAACCCCCCAAACCACAGAAAATTGAAAATGGAGAAAGTACATACAAAATATTGCCAATGTTAATTACCTATGAAAATAACAAAAAAAGAACATTCAGATTTTACTAGGTATTAGTTCTAAATATGTTGATACTTTTGCTGTATCAACTAAGTAGCAAAATGACCTTTCATTCCATCTCCACTTTCCATATAAAAGGATAGAGACATTTTCATCTGCATTTACACTCAATTCAAGAAGGAAAACTACTGAAGTCGTAGGAGTAGCATGCTGAACCCTGGGGTCTTTAACCTAGCAACTGCAAATATGCCACATATACTCATTTCTGGGTTAAATGGCACTAGTGCTTAGCTCTGAGTATACTGCTATACAGTAATTATTTGTTCTCGTCAAGTCTGGAAGTTTTATAAAGTTGCCTCATGAAACATTTCTCAAACAAAACAAAACCCAGCTTGTCCCTCCTACTTCACTTCCCCCAAACTAGAACAATCTTGAAGGCAGGGACAATACCTATCTTGTTCACTGCTGCTGTATCTCTGGCATCTTAACAAAGAGTAAAAGCTCAAAAATGTTTTTCTTGAATATGAACTCTTAACAAGCTTCTCTAAAAAACAGCAGGGCTCCTACTGTATAATTCGTAATTAAAATTTTAAATATAAAGAACACATAAATGACTCATAGTTCTATTAGTTACTGTACAGAAAGAAGCTAAACAAATCCATTCATAGAAACTCATTCCAGAGAAGTAGGAACACTTCTGATTTAAAAAATCATGTTGTAACTGTATAATAAAGTCTACATGGTACAATCCAGCTGTTCTAGGTAAGCAATTCCATTTTACCTTTCCTGGGATGAAGCAACAGAGATTGGAATCCACATACTTCATGAAAGTCATATTTAACAGGGAAAGCCTTGTTTCAACAGCAGCGAGGATGTCTGCATGACGAGCTAATGAATGGTTTCTCCTTTCTGACTCTCTCCTATAATTAAAAAGACAACCTTTAAAGAAGTACTGTGGACTAAAATGTTAATCACAAAATCTCTTAATGAAACAGCCTAGCATTTACATGTTAATTTAGAAATCTACAATTGAATCATAATTCAACTGAAATCTGATAAATGAATCACTATGTCCAGAAATCTTTGCCATGGACAAGTACTCACTGACAAAATATTTTTTTAAAAAGTAGGTTTTCTTTTTGGCTCCATCAAGCCTAACGGCTGTTATAATCAGAAAAGTTAGAAAAGTGAAAGAATTATACATGACATACAGATAAGAGATTATCTATTTTTGCCCATAAAATGAACTCATTTAAACTTTTAAATTTTTTATTAAGGAATAATTCACATATTAAAAAATCCACTTTCGCCCTGGCCGGTTTGGCTCAGTGGTTAGAGCGTCAGCCCGCACCCAGAGTTCCGGGTTCAGTTCCCACTAAGGGCACGTACCTCGGCTGCAGTCTGTCCCTGGCCCAGCTTGGGGTCGTGTGGGTAGCAACCACTCGATGTGTCTCTCTCCCATCAATATTTCTCTCTTCCTCCCTCTCTCCCTCCCGCTCTATCTGAAGATGAATGCAAAAATATCCTCGGGTGAGAGTAATAATAATAATAATAAATAAAAATAAAAACCTTAAAAATTTTTTATTATGAAATAATTTACATATTAAAAAATCCTCTTTTGCCCTGGCTGGTTTGGCTCAGCAATTAGAGCATTGGCCCATGGACCAGAGTCCTGGGTTCAATTCACGCTATGGGCATGTACCTTGATTGCAATTTGTCCCCGACCCCAGCTGGGGTTGTGTGGGTGGCAACAGATCGATGTGTCTCGCTCACGTCAATGTTTCTCTCTCTCTCTTCCCCCCTCTCCCCCTCCTGCTCTATCTGAAGATAAATGCAAAAATGTCCTCGGGTGAGGATAAAAAAAAAATTCCACTTTCACAGTGTACAGTTTAGTGGTTTTGGTATATTCAGAGTTGTGGACCCATCAATAGCATCTAATTTGAGAATGTTTCATTGCTACAGAAAGAAAGTCCATAAACCTTATCAGTTACTCCTGTTCCCCAGCCCCTGGCAACCACAATCTACTTTCTGTTTCTATGGCTTTGCCTACTCTGGACATTTCAGATAACAGATTTGTGCAGTATGTGGCTTTTTGTGTCTGTCTTCTCTCATTTAGCATAGTTCCTAAGGTTCATTCATATTGTAGTATGTTTCAGTATTTCATTCCTTTTTATTGCCAACTAACATTCTATTATATGTAATACCGTCATTTTGGTTATCTGTTTTATCAGTTGTAGGACTTTTGAGTTGTTTCTACTCTTTGGATATTCTGAATATGCTGCCATGAACATTCATGTCTAAGCTGTTGTGTGGATATATTTTAATTTCTCTTATATACCTAGAAGTAAAACTGCTGAGTCAAGTGGTAACACTATGTATAATTTTTTTTTTTTTGGTATGTGCCCCTAGCAGGAACCAAACCCGGGACTCTCTGGTCTGCAGGCCAACGCTCAACCGCTGAGCCAAACTGGCCAGGGCTATGTGTAACTTTTTAAGGAACACACTGTTTTCTACAGTGGCTGTACCATTTTATAATCCATAAGTAATTTATGAAGGTCCCAATTTATCCACATTCATCCCAGCATTTTTTGTCTTGTTTTAGCCATCTTACTTAAAGTGGTATCTTAATAGTATTTTGATTTGCAATGCCTGATGACAAATGATGTTGAGTACCTTTCACGTGCTTGTTAATCTTTAGTATACCTTCTTTGGAGACATGTCTATTAAAATCCTTTGCCCATTTTAAAATTGGCTTGTCTTTTTATTGTTGAGGTCTAAGAGTTCCTCATACAATATGGATACAGGTCCTTTATTAGTTATATATATTTTTTTATTTTCTTATATCCTCACCTGAGGACATTTTTGCATTTATATTCAGATAGAGCGAGAGGGAGAGAGGGGAGAACAGAGAGAAACATCGATGTGAGAGAGACACATCGACTTGTTGCCACCCACACGACCCCAACCAGGGTTGGGGACAAACTGCAACCGAGGTATGTGCCCTTAGCGGGAACCGAACCCGGAACTCTCTGGTCTGAAGGCCGATGCTCTAACTGCTGAGCCAAATCAGCCAGGGTCCTTTATTAGTTATATAAACGGCAAATATTTTCTCCCATTCTGTGGGTCGTCTTTTCACTTTTTTTTAAATTTTATTTTTTTATCCTCACCCGAGGACACTTTTTGCCTTTATCTTCAGATAGAGCGGGAGGAAGAGAGAGAAACTGATGTGAAAGAGACTCATCAAGTGGCTGCCACCCACATGACCCCAACCGGGCCCTGGACAAACTGCAATGGAGGTACGTGCCCTTAGCGGGACAAACTACAATGGAGGTATGTGCCCTTAGCGGGAACTGAACCCACAACTCTCTGGTCCATGGGCCGATGCTCTAATCGCTGAGCAAAACAGGCCAGGGCTGTCTTTTCACTTTCCTGATGTTGCCTTTTGAGGCAAAGAAATTTTAAAGTTTCATAAAGTCCAATTTGCTTACTTTTTGTTTTGCTGCTTGTCCTTTCAGTGTCATATCTAAGAAACCAGTGCTTAATCAAGTTCATGAAGGTTAGTGCTATGTTTTCGTCTAAGAGTTTTATAGTATGCAATTGACATTTACAGTTAGATCGATGATCTATTTGGAATTAAAATAAAAACTATAAATCTATTCATAGTTTTCCTATGTGGTATGAGGAAGGGGTCCAACTTCATTCTTTTATGTGTAGATACCCAGTTGTCCCAGCATCATTTATTGAAAACATTATTCTTTCCCCATTGAATTGTGTTGGCATCCTTGTCAAAAATCAATTGACTAAAAATTTAAGGATCTATTTTCTGGACTCTCAGTTCTATTCCACTGATCTGTATGTCTATCCTTACGTCAGTACCACAGTGTTTTGATCACTGTAGCTTTGTAGTGAGTTTTGAAACCAGAAAGAGGCAGTCCTCCATCAACTCTCTTATTTTTCAAGATTGTTTTTTATTATTCTGAGTCTTTTGTATTTCCACAGAAACAGTAAGATCAAGTTATCATGTCTTCAAAAAAGACAGCTAGGATTCTGATGGGGAATGCACTGAATGTACAGATCAATTTAGCGAGTATTGCCATCTTAACAATAGGGAGTATTCCAATCCATGAGCATGGAATGTCTTTCCATTTCATTCTTCTTTAATTTCTTTTAACAACATTTTGTAGTTTTCAGTGTATAAGTCCCATATTTCTTTTTATATTTATTACTAAGTATTTTATTCTTTTCAATGCTATTATAAATGGAATTGTCTTAACTTCATTTTTTTATTGTTTATTACTAGTGCATCCAATTTTACAACTGATTTTTGTATATTAACCTTGTATCCTGTATCCCTGCTTAACTCATTTGTTAACTCTAATAATTAATTGGTGCATTCCTTATGTATAAGGTTAAATACATGCAAGATCATGTCATCTGTGAACAGAGAAAGTTTTACTTCTTCCTTTCAATATGGATGCCTTTTCTTTCTTTCTTTCTTTTTTTTTTTGCCTAACTGCCCTGGCTAGAACCTCCAGTAAAATACTGAGTAGTAATGGTGAGAGGAAGCAAACTATAGTAACAATCTCTTATTGTGATCTGGGTACCTTTTGCTACAAAAACTTGGAAACCATTTAACAGTTAAACTCTTACTGAGGTTAGGAAAAAAAAAAAGAAACACACAGACAAAATCCCCAATTGTAAATCACTGCCATTGCTAGCGTGACATACCTTGGGAGTTGTGCTTTGACTTGTTTCTGACATAGATTATGGTACCTTTCCACTTTTAGAAATCCCTGATTCAACATTCTCTGGCAGACTAAGTCCATTCTTTTACAAACCTGTGGGGAGAGAGGAGGAGAAAGAATTTTAAAAAGTAATAATCAAATTAATGACAAACAACTAACTTAGACTTATAACTGAATGCTGAGTGTTAGTGATGCCCCCCAGTTTGCTGTCTGAACCCTTGAATCAATATATATGAAGGTGAATCCCCCATACTTTGTAATTCTGACAATATTGTATTAAAAATTAATATGTATAGGCAAGGAAAACTTACTCTTTTACGTTAGGTATTTGTCAGTAGTTTTGAATGTATCCCCACTAATATGGTCAGAAAGTATAGTCCGGAAGATCAGTAAAACAATATATTCAAAGGTTTTTAATGGTTTGAAACAAGGAAAATTCTGTTAGCCAAAAATGTATATTCAAACGCAAGTCTAACATCTCACAAAGTTTATATGATCTACAACAGGAATGAGAATTCTTATTCATTTCTACCAGTGATTTGGGTTAATTAGAGACAGTTTCTCTCTTCCAGATAATGATATCCTCCCAAGTATCTTAACATGTGTAGCAGAACCTCAACTATTTTGAATCCTTACAAGAATACAGTGTCTATATACAGTGAGAGCACAGTATCAGATGTCAGAACACCTAAATTTGAGTCCAACCTTTATGCATTCTTGAGCAAGTCAGATACCATTTGAGAACCTGAGTCAGCCACCTATAAAATGTGGATAGTATCTAATGCAGGGATATCATTAGGATTGAATGAAAGTACATGTTGAATCATTTGGTAAACTCTAAAGTACTACATAAAAATCATGTGAAATAAATTTTAACTCAGTATGAATTTGAAAACTTTGCTCCATATACTTAGTGTTATGTTTCTGAGATAGCCCAGCATTTTCTTATCTTAACGAGACCCAGTACACAGTTAATATCTGTTTGTTTGTTCTTTGATCCCTGAGAATTTTGCAGTGACTCAGAGTTATCAACCTGAACATTAATTCTCCCTGCATAGGTGTGGATGTTGAAAGTGAAAGAGAGTGAGATAAATCTACATCAAGATCAAGTCAATCAGGCAGGGGCTGTCTTACACTTTCTCTCTCTCATAACACTCAAGCACAAATGTTTGACAAATACTTGTTGAAATGAAACATTGATGAAACTCTTGATACAAGTGTGCTTCCTCCCGAGAATACAGGGACAAAAAATTCAAACTGGTTGATGCTAATGAAAGCCTTAATATTCTATTTAAAAAATAAATAAATAAAAGCAGTACATATTAACAGAATTTTCTAAGGAAAAATAACGTTTTTATACAACAAAACTGTAGTGAGTTACATCTTCACAAATCTTTGATGCGTGGTTTCCTAGAAGTGAATCCTCACATCTGCTTCTGCAATTAATCACTGAGATTGTCTTACCTTAGAACACTCTAGAAAACATAATACACAATCACACACCTCATTAACCATCAGTTTGATGACATCACCACAGCACATAACTACTGGAGAGCCTCACTGTGCACGAGTGAAAAATGCAAATAATCTTTTTCTTTTTATTCCTCACCCGAGGATATTTTTCTACTTATTATCAGATACAGTGGGAGGGAGGGAAGGAGAGAAACATCGATGTGATAGAGCCACAGCAACTGGCTGCTTACTGCACGACCAGGGCTGGGGATGAACTGTAACCAAAGTTTGTCCCCTTGGCCGGAATTAAAACTGCAGCTCATTGGTTCACGGGCCGATGCTCTAACCGCTGAGTGAAACTGGCCAGAGCGCAAATAGCCTCTTAATACCGTAATGGAGATAGCTGACCTCTTATAGACAGCTTAAAGGGGCCTTGGGAACCCCTCTGGGATCCCTAGGCCACATTCTGAGAACCAGTACTCTAGTCCTGGTTGACCGCATTGCCACAAACTTGATGTGAGGGAAAAAAAGAAACTTTTATTGTGTTAATGGAGAGAGGAAAAGAGAGTGTGTCTATGTGTGCTGAAGGAAACAATGCAGGCTAAATTCATCTTTCACAGTAGAAAGTCAACAAATAATATAGAAGAAAAGAAAAACACCCCAAAGACTTGAACAGGGTTCCTCTAGGGAATAAAACTTGGGGGTTGCAAAAACTATTTTTTGATGTTAAAACTATGTGATGTGAGGCACCTTCTAACACAGTCTGTAGAAAAACACTTCCTGTCTTTATGGACTCTACATCTTTGATCATTTCCAAGATGAAATAATGCAAATAATTTTTCAGCAGCAATAAGCTTACAAAGAAAAACTTAAGATCAGTTATTACTGTAATAATTTCTAAGATACTGTCTATGTTATACTAGAATTTTGCTTCACTGAATCTTTCAATAATCTAGAAACTCAATTGAATATCTGAGCACTGACTAATATGAGTACATAAGTACTGACTGGTGATGAGAATATGAATCAATAACCAGATAAAGTCAAACAAGGAAGACTTGACATGCTACAAGATTTGAATTAGGCTTTCAAGGAAGAGAAGGCAAGGAGTGCAGAATTAGAGGTGATGGCATGTGCAAAGGCACCAAGTCTGGAATGAATAAATCATTAGCAAGCAAACTGCTTCTGAAGATAGACCAGGTATGTAGGCAAAGCTGGGATGAATAAACTCTCCCATGGTCTGCGAAGGGAAATCAGAGAGTAATGAGAAATAACTTTAAAAAGACCACCCATTTTTGAAAGATCTCATATTGGGACAGCTGACTGGTCATTTTCTGTAAGCAGTAACATTAGGACTAAAGACATGGTTCTGGAAACTTCACACTGAGATAGCGGAAAGCACTGCAGGTGACCCCCAAATGAAGAAGTGCCAGGGAAGACAGGCTTATAACCGAAGCCTCAACTGACATTTATAGTTAAAAGCTGGTAAAAAGACTAGAAAATAGGAAGGCACAAAGAGAAATTAAAATAGCATCTAAAAGCCAAATTCAAAAGCATTTTAGGCAGTAGTCAATATTGTGGAAAAAGAGCAGTACTACCCTGGCTGGTATGGCTCAGCGGTTAGAGCGTCGGTCTGCGGACCGGATAGTCCTAGGTTTGGTTCCCACTAGGGGCAGGTACTCTGCAGTTTGCCCCAGTCCCCGGCTGGGGTCATGTGGGTGGCAACCAGTTGATGTGTCTCTCTCTTCCCCCCTGCTCCATCTGAAGATGAATGCAAAAATGTCCTCGGGTGAGGATAAAAAGAGCAGTACTTAATGTGGGACTCCGCCTTCCATGGATGTTCAGTCAGCACTGATGGAACCACAGCACAAACACAGACAAACATCATGTATCTTTTGTTTAGGATTCAGAAAGAAGCAAAGTGACCTCTGGAAAACAGATATACTAATTTTCCCCAGGTCGTTTAATGGTTAACTGCTGACAATGCATTCTAACTTGCAATGAAAAATTATCTCATTAAAGTCTAGCTCTAGCCCAGCTGGTGTGGCTGAGCTGGCTGAGCATCGACCCAAGCACCAAGAGGTCACCGGTTCGATTCCCAGTCGGGGGCATGCAGGAGGTGGCCAGTCGATGTTCTCTTCTCATCAATGTTTCTATCTCTTTCTCCCTCTCCCTTCTTCTCTCTCTAAAATCAATAAAAGAAAAAATAAAATTAAAAAAAAAAAAAAAAAAAAAAAGACATACAGCTTGGGCCCGTGACTTGCTGTTCTAGATGAGAGATTAGGTGTTCTTGTTAATTACTTCAGGACTTAAAATGCTGTTTATCCTTTTCTTTTTTTATCCTCACCTGAGGACATTTTTGCATTTATTTTCAGATAGAGCAGGAGGGAAGGGGGAGGGGCAAGAGAGAGAGAAACATCAGATGTGAGAAAGACACATCAACAGATTGCCACCCACATGACCCCAACTGGGGCCAGGATAAACTGCAACCGACCTAGCCGGTTTGGCTCAGTGGTTGGAGCATTGGCCTGCAGACCAGAGTCCCAGGGTTCAGTTCCCTCAAGGGGCATGTACCAAAAAAAAAAAAAAAAAGATTCATTTGCCCTGGCCGGTTTGGCTCAGCGGTAGAGCGTCGACCTAAGGTCCAGAGAGACCCGGGTTCAGTTCCCGCTAAGGGCACGTACCTCGATTGGAGTTTGTCCCCGGCTCTGGTTGGGTCGTGCGGGTGGCAACAACTCGATGTGTCCCTTTCATGTCGATATTTCTCTCTCTCTCTCCCCCCATCCCTACTCTATCTGAACAAAAAATGGAAAAATGTCCTCGGGTAAGGATAAAAACAAAACAAACTGCAACCGAGGTACGTGCCCTTAGCAGGAACCGAACCCAGGACTCTCTCTGGTCCACAAGCCAACACTCTAACTGCTAAGCCAAACTGGCCAGGGCTGTTTATCCTTTTCATCATCTCCTAACTTAAGGAGTCAGTAGTAAGGTATTGGTTTAGAAATACCTTGTGTTTAGAAATCTTTTTCACTTTGTTGTGCCTAGCCCCTTTTAACAATGCAAAACACACATATACCACCATTTTCCTATTAAACCTAATCTTTATTAAAAAATATTTTTTTATCCTCACTTGAAGACATTTTTTCATTTTTTGTTCAGATAGAGTAGGAGGGAGGGAAAGAGGGAGAGAGAAACATCGACGTGAAAGGGACACGAGTGGCTGCCACCCGCACGACCGACCAGGGCCGGGGACAAACTGCAACTGAGGTACATGCCCTTAGCGGGAACCGAACCCGGGTCTCTCTGGACCGCAGGCCGACGCTCTAACCGCTGAGCCAAACCGGCCAGGGCTAAACCTAATCTTTAATATAAAATCTTAGTTAACTCTAAGATGCACACTTTTTCATATTTTAACATTTAATGTTGGAACAGTCTCACAATATATGCGATCTTACGATTATAACTGATGGGCAGCATTTCTTTTTTTTTCAGATATCTTCGATGCCTTGAAATACAGGGTGGGGCAAAAGTAAGTTTACAGTTGCGAGTATACAAAACACAGAGTTTATTCTTATAATTTATTATTTCTCATAATTTATTAATTATTAATAAGTATTATTAATTTATAAATCAATTAAATT